TCCCCCCATCCACCTCCATCCTTACGGAAACCAAGGTACTTAAAGCCAAATCAGCTTTGCAATTCCAACTAGAGACAAGGGATGGAACGGGAAATGTGCTCCCAGGCAAGTGAACTCCGCTGGGGGGAGGGGGGAGCTGAGGATTGGGGAGGGGCCCCCATTAAAATCACGGGGGGGGGGGGCACAGGAGCTACGGGCCTGCCTAGCCTCGACCAGGGCCAGAGCTTTTTCTGCCCTGGCCCCCACCGGTGGAACAGGCTCCCTATTGAGATCAGGGGCCCCCTGCGGGATCTTATGCAATTCCGCAGGGCCTGCAAGACGGAGCTCTTCCGCCAGGCCTTTTAGTTGAGGCAGCGGGCGTCCACATATGCCCCCCCCCAGGTTGCAGTCTCCCACCTACTGATAACCAGCCATACCTAGTTACATCAATTGGCCGGATTCTCCCTACAGCAAGCATGAATTTTGGTTTTATATGTTCTAATGTGTTTTAAATTTTATTGTATTTATCAAAATGTTGTAACCCTCCCTGAGCCCGTTTATGGGAGGAGCGGGATATAAATGTGAAAAATAAATACATGAATAAAGGAACTATAAAGCCTCCTCTCCCCCGCTACCATTTTATAGAAGAAGACAAAGTTGAATTCATACCCCATGGCCCTTCTCTACCTGAAGGAGTCTCAGGGCAGCTTACAATCTCCTTCCCCTCCCCACAACAGACACCCCGTGAGGTAGGTGGGGCTGAGAGAGCTCTCTCGAGAACTGCCCTTGATAGAACTTGTGACTGACCCAAGGTCACGCCAGCCAGGTGCAAGTGGAGGAGGAGTGGGGGAATTAAACCCGGTTCTCCCAGATTAGAGTCTGCACTCCTAACCACGACACCAAACTGGCTGTCACTACACATTCTATACTGTCAAGTAGGTCAGGCTGAAAGAGAGTGGCTGATCCATGAACTTCATGGTTGAGTGAGAACTGGAACCCAGGTCTCTCCAGCCCTAGTTCAGCCAATATGTCCATGTTGCTTCCTTACCTGTTAAAGGATTTGTAAAAGCAGAGGTCTGCTCTGGAGCCATATGACAAGAGGTCGACCGTGGATTCGCTTTTTTCCTGGGGGGTGATGCCAAGTGCTCTTTCCCATGGAGAGAGGTAGGTCTTGAAGATGGAGATGTGTTTCCCACTCCCAGCCTTATTGTCACCTGTTTCACAAGGACGGCAAACAATAGGTTGTGAGGGAAATGGTCTCTTCTCCTCCATTTGCGTGCTTGAAGTGAGGCAAATATATTCAGAGAGGGTTCTCGGGGGGAGAGGGTAGGAAAAACACAGCCAAAGCAAGCCAAGGATTTCTTCTAATGAAATCCAAGTTTTATAACACCCCCCCCCCAAAAAAAAGAACACCCAAACTCTGTGCTCAGAGTAAATTATCTGGGTCCAGCTTTTTTTCACACATGGACATCATTCATTCACAGCAATGTAGTGGGTTTCTCATAATTCAGAATATTTTAGCAAATGTTGGGGTAACACAAGACAAGGAAGGTCTGAGGAGGAATGCAACTATGGCTGATCAAGACAGAGCCAAGGGAGTCTCGTGGGCACGTCTGTCCTGGTCCCCTCAGAAGCTTTCGTGCCGCCTTTTTCACAACAAACAACCACGAGCCTTGTGACAGTTTAGAGCTTCATTGAAGCTAGAGCCTACTTCAGATACTAAAGTGAAACCTCACTGAGCAGGCTGTGTGTGCTTGTGTGTGTGTGTGTAAGAGAGACAGTGGATGAAAAGGCCATGAATTCTGTGGGAAAATTCAAAGTACACATGGTGAGCACGGCTTGTTTCGTGTTTCCATTTCGTGTTCCTTTTCTCCTTCCCACTCTTCTTCTGTACATATATTTCTGCTGAATGAGGTTTCCCTTCAGTGACCCAGCAAGTTGGGTCTAGCCAACAAAAGCTTAAACCTGTTAGTCTTTAAGGTGCCCCAAGAAAACTTTTCCTGGTTTGGCTGTAACAGGCAAATGCGACTAGCCCTGTGCAATTTGCAGTAATGTAGAGCACAGAGCTCTGGATTCCATTCCCTGCCCCACAGGTGATTACTTTCCTCTGGGTCACTTGACCCAGGGCCTGAAAAATCCCAGGTGCCAGCTCACCATGGCATCTAAAAAATCCATTGCGGCATTTAATATTTCCATTATGATGGTATTGCACTCTCTGTCAGTCATCCTCAGTGGCAGTACAACTCTTATTTATCATTTTGCATCAGTAGAAAAGAGCAAGACTCCAGTAGCACCTTAAAGACCAGCAAAATTTGTGGCAGGGTATGAGTTTTCGTGAGTCATTGCTCACTTCTTCAGATACAGCTAGACTGTGAATCCATCTGTCTCTATATCTTGGAGAAAGGAGTGATTTTGGATGCCGAATGACAACAGCAGACAAATAACAATAGCAGGCTTGATTGGATTAGGTGTGATATGCAGAGGGATAGTAGGAGTAAAGAGATGGGAATACCCGACCACCTCACATGTCTCTTGAGAAACCTGTATAAGGGTCAAGAAGCGACAGTTAGAACCAGTTATGGAACAACTGATTGGTTTAGCATAGGAAAAGGAGTACGACAAGGATGTATATTGTCACCTTGCTTACTTAATATGTATGCAGAGTAAATCATGTGAAATGCTGGCCTGGATGAATCACAGGCGGGAATTAAGATTGCTGGGGAAAAGATCAACAATCTCAGATATGCAGACAATACCACTCTAATGGCAGAAAGTGAAGAGGACCTAAAGAGCCTCTTGCTGAGCCTACGGGGAGGGCGGGATAAAAATCTAAATAATAAATAAATAAATAAAAGAGGAGAGCGCAAAAGTGGCATTGAAGCTCAACATCAAATCTCCTTCCCCTTCCGGCCCCATCACTCCTTGGCAAATAGAAGGGGAAGTCGTGGAAGTAGTGACAGACTTCACGTTCCTGGGATCCCAGATCACCGCAGACTGTGACTGCAGCCATGAAATTAAAAGACGCCTGCTCCTTGGGAGGAAAGTGATGGCGAACCTAAACAGCATGATAAAAAGTAGAGACATCACCCTGCCAACAAAAGTCCGCATGGTCAAAGCAATGGTATTCTCAGTAGTCATGTATGGCTGCGAGAGCTGGACTATAAGGAAGGCCGAGCGCCGAAGAATAGATTCTTTTGAATTATGGTGCTGGAGAAGACTCTTGAGAGTCCCTTGGACTGCAAGAAGATCAAATCAGTCAATCCTAAAAGAAATCAACCCTCACTGTTCCCTGGAAGGCCAGATAATGAAACTGAAGCTCAAATACTTTGGCCACCCAATGAGAAGGGAGCCCTCATTGGAGAAGACCCTCATGCTGGGAAAGATTGAAGGTCAAAGAAGACGGGGACGGCAAAGGATGAGATGGTTAGACAGTGTCATCGATGCAACGAACATGAAATTGAGCCAACTTCAGAGGACGGCGGAAGACAGGAGGGCCTGGCGTGATCTGGTCCATGGGGTCGCAAAGAGTCGGACTCGACTGTGCGACTGAACAACAACAAAAGTAGGCGTGGAGAAATCAGCATAGATAATGAGACAGGAAACTGAGGTTTCAATTCAGTCCAGGAGGATGCATTGTCTTGAGCTTCATTATCAATTGCAATTCTGCAGTCTTTCTTTCTAATCTGCCTTTGAAATTCCTTTGTAAGAACCGCTACTCTTAGGTTAGCCACTGAATATCCCGGAAGGTTAAAATGTTCTCCCACAGAAAGACTGCCGAGAGACCCCTCTGCATATCACACCTGAGCACACACACGTGTCTGCTATTGTAATATGCCTGCAGTTGTCCTTTACCTGCCGTTGTCATTCGGCACCAGAAACCACTCCACTCCCCACGATGTAAGGACAGATGGGCTCACATTCTAGCTGTGTCTCAAGAACTGGGCAGCGACTCACAAAAGCGCCTCCCCTGCCACAAATTTTGTCAGTCTTTAAGGTGCTCCTGGACTCCTGCTCTTTTCTGCCGCTACAGACTAACACAGCTACCCATCTTGATCCATTTCACATCAGAATACATTTTGTTGTCTGGCATAAAAATGCATGCACATGATGTTTTTGTCATTGCTTATTGATATGTTAGCTTTAAGCCATTCTGTGGTGGTGGTGGATGAACTGAATTCTTAACCAGATGTTTTCTATATTGGCTCCAATATTCAATTAAATGGAGCTTTTTAAAGCAATATTGAAATTACTGGGGCGAAGTTATGTTAGCATTAGAAGTTACCTTTTTGCTGTGGTGATGAACACAACCCTGTGTTCACTTCTGTGCTATGACACATTTGTCATAGCTGCAATTTGTCATAGCTGCAATAAAATTATGAAATACTCTGAAGAGTTTAGGATTCGGTTTTGAGGTACCATTAATTAGAAAATCCAGTCAATGTGAAACCCTGAAAGCTGAGAAATGAGTTACCTAAACTTGTGGGCCAAAGAAAAATTTTCAAGAACGAATTTAACCAGAATTATGGCTATGGATGTTTTTGAGAGCACTGCTTCATATGGATTTCTGTATTATGTTTTCTGGTGGCCCATACAGAGCAAGACATTATTTCTCATGCAGTTTTGAAAAGTATTCTTTGGATGTAGTTAGGATGATTTTTAAATTTACCTCCCTTTGCAAAGCCAGGCAGTATAAACAACTGAATGTGACTATCGCAGGTATCCAGAGCATGGGAAACACCTTGGGGGAAAGGATTCAAGTTCTATCCTGCCCTTTTGGAACCCGTCTGTTGGGGAAGACGGGTGAGGCCCTGGCCTCTTTCCTTCCTGAATCTTTTATTGACCCATCTGTGGCGACACTTGCCTTTTCCACCGGCGGTGTTCTCACTTCCTCCACCGTCCACTCCTCCCCCGGTGCCAGCAGTTCCCTCAGGGTGGCCGGCTCCAGTTCCCCCGACTCTTGTTCCTCCAGCTCCACCTTTGCTCCCAGGCTTTGGAGGAGGGTTGGGAGGGTAGTGCAGTTTACTGGATCCATACAGCCCTCCAGTTATGCCGCTCACCATCCGCCCACCACTGTGTGAGTAATTGTGAGCATCAACTCCATAATGTCCCCCAACAGGTGGGATGAACCTCTGAAAATGATCCTGAAAGAGGGAGGGAGGGGGAGAGAGAGAGAATTATGTAACTGTGACCATGAAACACACAGAGGGCTTTAGAGGCCGCCTACTTTCTGGCAGGACTTGGGCTGTCTGCTTGTGCTGGGGCCAGGCTGGACCAGTTGTTCAGAAACCACAGCTTGGCATTGATCTATTTACTTATTTTTCTAAAACATATCCTGCCTTTCCTTGGCCCCTGCCACACGGCAGGGGAAAAGCCTCTTGAGGCGCGGCTTTTAAAAGCCGCGCCAACGTTGACACGGCTCGGTGGGATCCCACGGATCCCCGGCCGAGCCGCCTTTTCTCCCCGGCGCGATCAAACGCCGGGGAGAAAAGACGGCCCTAACCGGGGGCCGGCCGAACTGCGCATGTCGGAGCATGCGCAGTTCGGATCCGGGCCGGGGTTGTGCCGGCGCAAAGACGCGCCGGCGATCAGACGCCCGGGAAGAGGCGCCTCATCCATTTGAACCACCGAGGTAGGTGGTTCAGTTTGAGGCGCATTTTCCCGGGAAAGGGACAGTTCGGCCACGGAAGCAAGACGCTTCCCAGATGTTGTGGTGTGATCGCGCCGGTTTGATCCGGCCCCAAACTGTCCCGTTCCCGGGCCAAATCGCCTCGTGTGAACGGGGCCCTTGTGGTTCAAGACAGCTTAAATTAATAGTTAAATACAGGGTTGCCACTTTGGGGGTGGAGCCAGGAGAGGGCATGGTTTGGGGAGGAGAGAGGCCTCAACATAATACAATGCCATAGAGTCCACCCTTCAAAGCATCAACTTTCTCCAGGGGAGCTAATCTCTGTCGGCTGGGGATCAGTTGTAAAAGCAGGAGATCCCCAGGCCCCACCTGGAGGCTGGCAACCCTAGCCACCTCCCATCTCTCCCCCCAGATCTACCATCTGAAGCGATAAGCTTATCCTTCGTCACCATAGAACTGGCCATGCTTGCTTCTATGCCCCTTCCTCGCTGTCTCTTCCATGACTGCCCATCAAGGTACTAGATACTGTCCTTGAGCAGTAGTCATTCTTTAGTAAGCACAGCATTACTCACGTGAGACTGACAACGGCATCTTAAAAGAGTTACACCCTTCTAAATTCATCGAAGTCCATGGCCTTAAGAAGGGTGTGACTCGGATTTGAATGGCACTGGGTGGATTTAATTATCCTTGATTAAAAACAAAACCTAGGCATAAACCTGTTATTGGTTTACTAATTTGTTACAAGAACTGATACAGGACAGGCTGTTGTACATTCAATTAATACAGTACGCAATGTGAAGACGAAGATTTTGAAATGTTTGGATTGTGTTTCTGTGTTTGTGTGAGGACATAGGGACAGTTATTTGGGAACAGGGGAGCCACAAGCATCCAGGGGTGTCCCTGTTTTTCTCTATACTTCAGTTGTTAGTCATTCAGTATAGCTGTGGATGTTCTGGAGGCCTTTGAAGTGGTCGGCGGAGCAACTCCAAGCGTTTGCAGATGATCTTGTATTCATTTTGGAAGAACCACAAACATCTATCACCTATCTTCTGAATTCTCTAAAAGAATATGGACAGCTAGCTTGTCTGAAAATTAATTTTAAGAAAACAAAAATATTAATAAAAAACTGTACTAAAGACCAGATACAACAATTACAAGAGATTTCTGGTATTGAAGTTCAGAAGAAAATAAAATACCTAGGGATAACCTTAACCAACAGATGCAGCTCGTTATTAAAAGATAATTATATGAAACTTTTGACTGAAATTAAAAAAAGACTTGGAAAACTGGAAAAACTTACAAGTATCCTTTATGGGAAGAATAGCTATTGTAAAAATGAATGTCTCACCTAGACTTCTTTTTTTATTCCAAACTATACCAATTTTAGGAAACCAACAGTACTTTAAAGAACTGGACAAATTGATCCAACACTTTATATGGCAAGGTAAAAGACCCAGAATAAAGATAAAAGTACTACAGGATAAAAAGGAGAGAGGAGGATTTGCACTACCAGAGTGGCATCTTTATTATAATGCAGCAGCCTTGACATGGATGAAGGAATGGATTGCCCTGGAAAATCCTAGAATTCTAATGCTAGAAGGTCATGACTTGAAATTAGGTGGGCATGCTTTTGTATGGTATGAAAAAAGCAACACAAATAAATATTTTAAAGAACATATTTTAAGAGCAGCACTCCTGAAGTCATGGGAAGAAGTTACGAATATGTTCTACATAAAAATACCTAAATGGGTCTCGCCACTCAAAGCCTTTATAAATCCCACCTTATTTAGTAAAGATCAAATGTGGAGATATGAAGATCTCTTAGATAAGAAAAACAATTTTAAAACACAAGATATTCTCCAAAAACAGAACATTTATTTGAATTGGTGGGAAAGGACACAACTTGACTCCAGATATACGAAAGATAAACAAACCGGCTTTTATGAAAAGCCTACAGACCTGGACAAAACTCTACTCCATATACATGAAAAATTTATAAAGGCATTTTATACACTGTTAATAGACATGAAAATGCAAGACGAAGTAGTGAAATCTTCAATAATTAGATGGGCATAAAATGTAGACCATAATATAGAATTAGACCAGAGGACAAAGGTATGAAAAATGAACATAAAATTTACCAAAGCTACATCATATAAAGAAAAAATATATAAAATATTTTATATGATTAAATTTCCACTTTTAAAAAACCCATATCTCAATGTTCCTGATTTTCAAATCACTATTTATGAGAACATACTTGAGTCTGCCTCTATGGAACCCCTCGATTATGCTGTTGTTGTTTCCATGGGGCAAGGACCATTTGCCTGTTCTGTGCAGAAAGGAGACGCTTTCCAGGCTGTAAACAGGGCTGCCAAGGCCAGCTGTTCGGCCAGCTAAATATAGCCAAGGAGAAGTGAAAACCCCACAAGGCGGAGTGTAGAATTATCTAATGCTTCACTCCACGTATCCCGCAGCAGTGACCAGCTCTTTGCAGTGGGTCACCCAATCTGCCAGCTGGGCAGACGGCCATTGGCCAAATGGACTGGCAGAGCTGGGGGGGAGGTCTTTGGGGAACGTCCCTCCCCCAGAATATATGAGCTTCTCATTTTAAGAACAAGAAGGATAAAGTTCCCTTGAATGTCAGGAAACACAGCGGGGGCAGGGGATGACAGATGAAGAGAATCCCAGTAATGAAGGTTTCCTCTCCAGGGCCTGAAGCTATGCACACAGGCTGTCTGTTCTGGTGGTGAACAGGGAAAAGCTGGGAACAGCACGATGTCGGGTAGCCCCGCCATGGTGCTTTTGTCCTGACTCTGGAATGTGTAATGTTCTGCAGCTGCTTCTCGCTTCTGCCTCTTATCTAGCCATTGGCCTTGAGCGCTCATGGAGCAAAGCTTCTGTTGCCTCCTGCTCAACTCTGAACCGTTAAACAGTTCCCCACGCTCCGCATTACTTGCATATTGGCTCCTAGGTGTCAGGGGGTGTTGTATGAACCCGCTATAATTACTATTGCCATTTTGTATGCCTCATTCCTGACTCAAAGAGTCTAAGTTGACTTCACCTTACTCTGATCAATACAGCTAAACCTGTTCAAGGACCTGCTGTTGATGCTGAGTTATTGAAGTACCTGACAGAGAGTCAGGAATCCATCTCTCCTCTACCCGTATCATTGCAAAGATGAGCGGTGATGAAGAGGACCAGCGGTTGCCAAAGGATCCAAAGGAGCAAGATGTCCCGGTTACCAGCACACCGGTCACTACTGCCCTGCCTGTGACCATGGTTTCCACAACAACCCTGCCCCTGCCGGTGCCCGTGTCCTTGGGGCTGGGAGTTGAAGGGGGACTCTTCAGTCGGAGCTGGGCAGAACCCAGGGGGTTCAAGTGGTCCATGTTTGATACAACCACCCAAGAGTCATGGACTTTAACTCCCCACCTGGCAAGAGGGAGCCGTTACAAGTATCAACCGCCCCATGAGACAGGGGCACGTACTCGGCGCAAGAAAGAGAAGAAGGGTTGAGAGGAATGCCTCACCCGAATCAAACAAGTCCAGGATAGGATGATCCAGGTGGTAGAGGACGCCCAATGGGGATTCCAGGCATGGTCGCACAGTTGGTGCAAGCTGAGATGCACCTGCAACAGCAGCAACAGTCACAGGTCCCCCTGCCGCCACCGCCCCACCTCCTAGTACCGGATGAGCAAGTGCCAGTCCTGGGTCCGGCCCCAGCACCAGTAGTTCCAGCCTTGGGGCCAAGGATGGCAGAGATTCTACCCAAAGGGCTGCTCAATGCCAAGTTTGATGGCACCTCTGAGAAATTGGGCTTTTTTGTGGTGCAGGTAGAGAAGTTCATCCAAACCACCTGTTTCCTACCGATGCCGAACGAGTGGACTACATCGCAGCACAACTCAGGGGAGGGGTGGCAGACTGGTACGTGAGTTTGCACAATGCAAGGGGCCTCGAGCTGTAGGAGGTGGCTGCATTTATGTGGGCCCTCAGAGTGAAGTATGAAAACCCGTTGGAGAGTGAGTGCGCCCAGAATCACCTGCGCACCCTGAAGGCAGATGCATGGCCCGAGAGTACACAGAGGAATTCAAAAGCTATGCAACAAAAGTGCAAGGCTGGGCAGACGGGGTGCTCGCAGAACAATATCGGGTGGGGCTCCACCCAGAGATTCGTGAAACTATCCCGCAGAGTGTGCGCCCCATCTCCTTCAATGCATGGGTGCGGGAAGCTGCTGATGCAGAGGCCTGGCTCCAGAAGATCAAGATAGATGGGCCTTCCCAGGCACCCCAGATGGGATTCACTCGAGTGAAGCCGAAAGCCCCCAAACCAAAGGATAGCACCCGAAAAATGCGCATGAAGCAGGGCTTATGCCTCCGTTGCGGAGAGGCCGGGCATTTTGCTGTCGACTGCCCTGGGGCCGTGGAAGGGTCTGCTCTGGCTAAGGAGTCGGGGAGGAAGAAGCCTGATACCCCATTCAAGAAAGGGACCGCGAAAGCCAAAGTGCAACGGGCC